TTCATACTGCGTCAACCAATTATCCAAGTTTTTGCACAGTTCATTTGACCACTTCTCTATTTTCTCCTTAGGTATGGAGATTTTTACTTTACAAAGCTCATTATATATATATCGGGAAGTTTTATCGATGCTTCTAACATCTTCCATTAGACCAACGGTGCACAACCTGCGGCCGCATGCGGTCGTCGTGAAAAAATATTGCGGCCGTCCACATACAAAATCCTATAAACGAAAAAAAAAACCAAAAAAAATTCAAAATATAGGATTCGGCGGCTATGCTGGCGTATATTGAAGCAAAACAGAAGCACTGCAGAAAAGTATATCCAGTGCTACAATAATTGGCAAGAAAAACTCTCGTTCTTTTTGGAAGCTCTTACACGTGCGAAGCAACAAGAATGAATTACCTGAAGAATAAATACCGAACCAGATTGTTAGACGTTAATCTTGAGTCTGAACTAGGGTTGCCAACTATGAAAAGTCTCAATAAAAGACATAGATTACCGGAATCATATATTTTGTAACTTGCAGGAAAGAACAATATAAAACAATGAAATACAAATTATATACAAGTTAAAAAGATATATTAAAAAATCTTCATGTGTTTTTCATTTAATGTTTATTTAACATTGACCCAATCAAGCTGCATTCTGTGAACAGTTTAGTGCTTTGAATCGTGCCAAATTTTTTTAAATGAGTGCAACTTCATCAAATAGGTCAAACATATTCAAATTGAGTTTGTCTTTTAGCTTCAAATGCTCTACAATTGTTACGAGTGTCTGATATTTTGGAGAAAGATTATCCAAAAGAGATAATTTTCCAAATGTTGAATTTTCATCAAGGTAAAATCTTTTTTCTAAATACGTTATCGCAGAGTTGAGAAATAATCTAAAATCTTAGAGACCAATTTATACGTAGAATTTTCAGTTATTGAACTAGAATTCACTCAAATCTTGGAGTGTTGCCACTTGCCATCTTCGGAAAATTAATGTAAAATATTTGAAATTGTTAATAAAATTGGTATTTCTTTGGCTATTTGAGCCGTACCAAAGCGAAATTAAAAAGAAAAATTAAAAGCTTGCAAATACATAAACGGAGGCGATTTAAGAACGAAACAATATCAAACACAGTAATAAAACTATCGGGCAAAACGACGTTGGAAAAAATAAAAGACAATTATCATCTTAAAAAGGACATGGACAAAAATCTCAAATAAAGGATTGTTCTTTGAAATAAAGGACGGTTGGCAACCCTAGTCTGAACTAAGGCTGATGGTATCCAGCCAGTTACCTGACTTTGCAAGTTTATCTGCCCACATGCAAGATCAAGGAAGTCATTGAATTGTTACAATGCTTTGCAAACTTAATAAAATAAACAAACGAGAATATCGGTCAGAGACCGAAGACTTATCGATCGAAAGTTAGGGGATCCCCCAAAACAGCGCTCTTACTCCATAGTGACACCTTGTGTCCCATCACTAAGTAAATAATAACTCGCTAATTATACGACATAATTCGCCCAAAATCAATAGGCTTTTGGTCCGAGATATGATGAATGCACATGCAAAATCTGTAGCAGATTCAATCTTGTTTTCGTGAGATATCGCGTGCATCTAACAGACATACACACAGACAGACAGACAAATACCTATCAACACACTCACCGATTAAAATTGATAAGTAATAATAAATTAAAGTCATTGAAATCTTTTATATTTTATTATACTTTTTGGGACAAGAAAATGGGGGCGACCGCCCCTCCCCCCTCCCCGACTTTCGATTTTTTTCAAAATTGTGCATACATTATGCAACTTGCTGCAATATATCTGCTCAAGAATAGGTACACCGAAAAGAAAAATCCGTTTAAAATGCAAATATTATACTTCCAAGTAATCCTACATAATTCATAATTGGGCAGACTGCACCTCGCATGGGTCAAATATGCGGTTATGACGGCATAAAAGCTAAAAATTCGCGCGCATCCTGGAGGCCGTATTAAATACAGATAAATGCAATGTGGCCACCAATAGCAAAAAGGTTGTGCACCTCTGCATTAGACTAAAATGTGGATTGACTCGCGGGGTTTCTAATCAATTTTCTTTCCATGCTTGGGGTATACAATATACATGATACAATTTTTAAATACGATTGCATGTCATTATAAAAATCAGAAATTCCCATGAAACAAATTATTCCTCCATATAAATTTAGGAAAAAAATCCCTATAGATTTCCATGAAGCATCAAATTCATCATTCACTAAAAATTTTACCAATCTTAATTTAAGACCAATGAAGAATGATTCAATATCAATCATATTAACCCTTGATCTCGCATAGGAAAATTTTGGCAATGATTGTTTCCCCCCAGGTACGATGCTTGGCATTTGTTCATTGTTTATTTTGCATCCAGACATTGAATAGAAAATATCGGTTTCATATAATATTGTTCTGATCCTTTTTTTCTGAGCCATCAGAATACACTGTTCACTGTTGCATCATCTGCAAGCAAGGAGATTTTAATTTCTGTGTTTCCAAGATAAATTCCTTTTACGTCATGGTTTTGTCGAATTATACATGCTAATATCTCGTTTGGCCCACTTATTAAACAGATGACCACAATTAAAAAATTTCAACAAATAATGCCATGAAACAGAATCATAAGCTTTTTCTATACGTATCTAAGTTTAGTGCACTTCCTGAGTTCATATAGTTGTTCGATTCTGATCATGTCATGTACGACACCTCGTGGTGCGTTTTACCACTTTTGCCTACCTTACTGTCAACGTGAATTCCATCTTGTGACTACTCGTCTCCGTTTGTCTGGCAAGTTTATAACATTTTATATGTGTATGGCACCAGAAGAAGCAAATTGGAATTTCAACATCATTATTATTGATAGGTTAAGATGTTGAGCAACGAATTTAAATGAGTACATTTTTAGACATGCGCGGTACCATAGTACCGTAGCCGGAGAGGTCGTAGTTCGCTATACAGCCATATGATAACCGTACGTTAAGCCGTATTTATCGGCTTTCTTGTCTCGCAGACCACAATATTCAGATATTAGTTTTGTGTTGTTCGCGGGCCACATTTGTCCCAAGACATTTGAATATTATTTATCTTTAATCAATGTTCCAACAATTATGTTGGTTGAAAGTCTCTAATTCAGTAATTGGCATCCAATGTTTCATCTTTCCTGACTAACACACTGACACATTCCAGCATTCTGACATTCAATGTCTACATATCTGAAATATGCACTGCACTGTATTCCCATAAAAGATAAAAATCTGTACTATTGTCCTTATTCAGTTTTTTAACATTGTTTGTGGAAATAAAATCTCTCCCCTCCCAACCTTGTCTGCTAGTCCCTGTATTCTGGTATTAGATTTTAGACTCTTTACTCTGTTCAGCTGTTACAGCAAAAAAAGTGCTTTCATAAATGAAGCGGCCCTGAAAATCGATAACAATAACATGACATTTTAGATGATATTCTTTCAGCACCTTGCAGACATACCGGTATCAATCATTGAAGCTTTGTTTTCCTCAAGCAAGTACTTTCTCTTGCATGTCGAGTTGAAATTCTGTTTGAATTGGTCAGCTCTTCTTTGAAACTCCAGAACTGACGTTTACAAAGCGACTTACAAATCACTGCAGAATGATCAATTACTAAATTTCTTTAATTACCGAAGTACATAAGTAAGAGATCAATTTGTCAGTTTGTGCAAGTTTTAGGCCATTCAAGGCTGGGGCAAAATCGAGTTACGGACTTTTAAACTAGTTTAGGCTGGGTAAGCACACTATTCAATCACCCTAACAAAATCTCTTTTGTCCTCTGACTGTCTCAGCTATCCCTGTTACAAGTAAACTCAACAGTGTTAGTGATGCAACAATGTATCCGCAGATTTTCCCAGTTATTTTTATGATAAAACAATACCAAAATGCTATTTTTGGTTATCACCAGGTCAGCAATTATTACCCATGTTAGCAAAGATAATGCGGGCTACAGATAGCAGGATACTACTACAGTACTACAGCGGGCCAGGGTATGGCCACCATGCTCTTTTTTGTGTGGCATGAATTTTGGGTCGAAGCATCCATGGGCCGTAATGTCTGTGTACCCCCTCATTCGGTGATTGGTATCATTGTAAAAAAAATTATGTTCATTTTCATGTTTTTAGAGGTTTTCTCAAGTTTAAAAATACAGACATATTTAAAAACGTTTTCAAGTCTGTAGATCAGTACAGCAGTAAGCTAGAGAGGGCAATTCTGTAATTATTCAGTTTCTTGCCTTGTCTGTCTTGGTCTACCTGAGGCTATTTATTGCACTAAACTGATCAGAACAGCAAAAGCTGAAAAGGGAAATATTTGTTGAGTTATTGATTCAAACCTAAATCCTTAAATTTTGTAAACAAATTATTTATTGTTTGCTTCATTAAATCTTAACTATTGTATTTTGTATCACCAGTAACTGAATTCTGTAATTTACTTATGTTATGTAATCGAACACGTTCTTCACGAGCCTACATCTCTGTACTATGCGTGGGTGACACATTATTATTTCTTTCAAGTATTTACCCCTGTCAGACCATCATTGCATGTGTGAATAAATGTAGAAAATGTATTTTAAATTGACTATGAAAAGTCAATTGATCCAGCTCCAGCTGAAAAGAATAACCGTCTCAGACATTTTTGAAATATTTTACTGTATCATGGTATATATATTATTCAGCTATTTCTTTGAGTTAATACACTGTAACTGCACAGAGCAGACTAGTAATGTTGAGCTCACAAATGATCAATCTGTCAATTTTGTCCAAATAATGACTGCTATACTGATGCAATACTAGTGCCAAAGTTCAGTTTATTTTTTATTTAAATTTTGATTTTTATGAAAGACGGGGATGTAATTGAGATGAAAAGCATGTGATACAGTGATAGTTGACATAAATTCAGGCTCTATATATCTCTATCATATACCGTTTTATTTTATGTACAGTTCTGCACTAGATAAAAAATCACCCTCATTGAAAATGAGTAATTCGCAACGTACATATGGCATTACGTCTCCAATCAGTCTTGCTGGACCCATCAATAAGGATATAACATTGACAACAAAAGTTTTGGAAACTATCAAACCCTTTGGAGCATTTGAGACTCAAGAAGAGATGGAAGAAAAACAAGAAGTTTTACGAAAAGTCAATCAACTCGTCAAAGAATTTGTGAAACGAATAAGCGTAGAAAAGGTTTGTTTTCTCCAAAATATGTTCAAGTGTTTAGAAATTTTTTTGAATGAAAACATTTATTTTTTACTAATTGTTTCTGTTCAATATTTTCAATAATCAAGATTTTGGATTTCGATTATATTTACCTAGTCTAATTATTGACTTGATTATAAATGGCTTGCTGATTATCCTTATTACTTTGTAGAATCTTCCTCAGTCTATAGTCGAACAATGTGGTGGAAAGATCTATACATTTGGTTCATATAGACTTGGTGTATGTGCTCGTGGAGCTGATATTGATGCGTTGTGTGTAGCACCACGACATGTCGACCGCAGTGACTTTTTCACAACTTTTTTCTCAATGTTGAAGGAAAATGATGGCGTCAAAGATTTGAAAGTAAGATTCTTGCAGAAGAGATTCGTTGGAGATGGATCGTAATATTTTTATTCAAATATGAATATGAGAGAGGAAGATTAGACATATTTCTTGGCATTAATTCAAAAAATTCTCTCACTTAAAGTTAAACATTTTTATTTTAGATCGAATAATGTGCGATGCAATGACAATGTGTATTATAACTAAATGTCATTCTTATTTTTTGATCTGTTCTTAATGTAAATTTTATACATAGTTAGATCATTTTTGTAATATTTTATGTCTAACTGCTGTAACTTATTCATGCGTAGTGATTTCCGACAATTATCCGTTATTTTTACAGGCAGTGCCAGATGCATTTGTCCCAGTCATCAAACTTACATTTGATGGTGTTGAGGTAATAATTGTTCTGATTCTTTGATTTTGGTAGCTTTACTTATTAAATCACTTATTCATTCACAGTTTAAAACTTTGAGATCTACTGTGCAGTATCATTCCATTCGCCAAATATTTTCTAATGCCCAGATCACCAGTCACGTGAGCAATCATAAACAACATCCTCAATATAACTGTACAATTGCGGATTTGAAAGCCTAAAAATTCCCTTTTTTGATTTTGTTTTCTGTTTGAAAAATTAATTTGTGTATTAATTAGGAAAACGTATGCCCATTATTTGCTCCTGTATAGCCCTATTAAGTTATTATAATATGATTTATTTTCAGATGGATATACTGTTTGCAAGACTTGCCTTACAGATTATCCCAGAAAAACATGATTTACGGGATGATGATCTCTTGAAAAACCTTGACATTCGCTGTATAAGAAGTTTAAACGGATGTCGAGTGACAGATGAAATTCTTCATCTTGTACCACATGTAGATAATTTTCGAGATACTTTGAGAGCAATCAAACTATGGGCAAAAAGTGAGTATCAGCATTTAAATGCTTGTTTTATATGTGATTGATAATAGCACAAAATTAAAGAAAAATAACACTTTTATGAATATGTATAATGACAATGACCTACTACTGGTTCCCTGTATATCTGTTGTAATGAACTTAATCTTGATCAATGTCATGTGAGGTACTTGCTCATGAATATCTAAATATTTTAACCACATCCACTTAATTTCTCTGCTGTTGTTGGGTGAATTTTGCCTGTTGAACTGTTGCCTGCTGAGGCTCTTCTGTAATAGTTGAGACTTGAGAGATTTACATTCCAGTGTTGTTATCTAAACTAAAAATTATTAAAAAATTTTAAATTCTAATAGTATGTTATTTCGAACATCTTTTAAAATAATATAGGGATATGTAAATTGCACCCTATTTCAAGGAGAAAAACTGTTTGAAATTAGATATTTGAATATCTGAAAGTAATGATACCTGTTTTCTCTTTATTGTTACGTTTCCTTATTTGGATAATTCTTTTAATTTTAGGGAGAGGAATATACAGCAACATACTTGGATTTCTTGGTGGTGTTTCATGGGCAATGTTGGTGGCTCGTACATGCCAGTTATATCCTAATGCTGTTGCATCAACTTTAATTCATAGATTTTTCTGGGTGTTTTCACAATGGTGAGTAAGCTTTTTTGTACAAAACGTGTAGAAAATACATTAAACGAAAAATGGCTTCACTACATCCATCAATGGGTTAATTTGATCATAATATTCTAGCATAAAATTTTAATAATGGTAATCTCGCGACCTCGAAAAATTTCTTAATGCTCAATGTAGCAAGCATGTTCAATTTGATTATAGTTTGTTTTTCGTAGAGAATGATAATATTTGTCGAAAGTATATATGTAAAGAGCTTCTATCAATTTGACAGGACTGGAATATTCCCAGTTCAGCATTGCCTACCCAATTTATTACATCTTGGGTGAGATCGGGGCAATGCAAATTGCAATGCCAACGCAAATGAGTCTAACGCTATAACTGCTAGTCAATATTATTATCTATGCATAAACCTCATTTTTGATTAATCTTATTTTCACTTTTCACTGAATTCATCATAAAATTAGTTATTATTGCTGACATTATTTTGATATTGGCGATTACACAAATGTGATATTTAGGGAGTGGCCAAGGCCTGTGTTATTGAAACAACCTGAAGACAACAACAATTTAAATCTTCCTGTCTGGGATCCGAGATACAATCCAGCGGATAGATTGCATTTGATGCCGATCATAACACCTGCTTATCCTCATCAAAATTCAACGTATAATGTAACAAGATCATCATTGACTGTCATGAAGAGGGTAATTTCTATTCAATGAATTGCATTTTAGAACTCTTATTTCCTATTTTTCCATTTTTCTACTGCGCAATATTCAAATGTATTCTTACTTTTAGGTCTTTATTAAATACTGGCTAGCAGTGATAAGTAATATTAGATAGACACCTGTGTATTTGAATGTAGAAGAATGTATTGTAATACAACTTTTTTTATATGCCTTTCCTTCTGGGCAATGCTCTACATAAGCAGCCAATTCTAGGTAAAGAGCAATGTCATCATAGATAAGTCACCTGATGTGTATATTTTATTGAAATTTTGAATTAGAAGTTCCCAAATTTAATCTAGGGCTATCCATCACATATCAGACTATTGAAAAAGTACTGTATTTTACGGACCTTGAGACACGCTTTAAATCCTATTTTTTCTCACATATCGATGATGTAATGCTTCGTTATCAGTGCTAAATGAAAAATATAAGATATCGTAAAAACCATCAAAAGTCCAGCAGCCTTAATTGTGTTAAAGTGATAAATAACGTACAGAATAACATATTTTTGACCACGAAGGTGTGATGAGCTGACCGTTTGTCTTTTTCTAGTTATCATAATTATTCAGCTAAATATGAGTATCATGTACCTGAGATAGCTAAATCTTCTCATACCTTTAGTGATTTATAAGATGACAATGATTGTGCTTTGGAAATTTCAAACTGTACTTTCGAATTGTATCAATTATTTGCGATATATGCCATAAAATTAAAATCCCAGTGTGAAACAAAAAAATATAGAATGAATATTGTATCAATACGAATGTTGAGTTCTTAGGTTTTTGTCAATAGTGCTGTTATCAATTTTACTTTATTTTGCAAGGAATTTCTGGAAGGATATCGCGTTACTATGGAGATTCATGAAAACAAAGCTTCATGGTCCCGCTTGTTTGAAGTCCCAAATTTTTTCAATGAATACAGACATTTTATCGTTCTAACGGCAAGTGCTGAAGATGAAGATCATTTTAATAAATGGTAAATTGATTATTAATAGTAGTATTAGGGCAAGCAAGTGTATAGAAGTATTTTGAGATTGTAGCAATCACATTCACTACTTTTCTTGTATTTGTGGACTAGGTTATTTCGTTAAATTTATTTGAAACAAACATATTTAGGGCTTGTATTAAAAGCTAACTTTGATATTAAACAAATATCTTTTGGCATAGTGAAATATAATTTATGCAATTCCTAGTGTTTCTTGAAGAATTGCAATTTTAATATTGATAAAACCGCTAGTAGAAGATATTTAATATATGGGATATTTTGTTCATTAAATAATGGTCAGTTTAGGTCGATTCCATTTTTATTTTAAAAATGTTCTTGGGATATGCAGTCATATCTAGCTTTCTATTCAATACCAATGATTTCTAATTACTATATTGCAATTACTTACTCGATATATTGAAAGGTAAAATAAAATATTTCTAAAATTATATTTTGATTCTTATTTTAATTTAAATTCACATTTTTGTATTACATAAGAACATTTCTGGTTTGGCATTTATTTCACCCACATCCCATGGTGAAATGAGGGAACTTGGTTTAAAATTCAAATTTGTGATGCCTGCGTGGTTAAAAGTTTACTACTCCATAGTAATTTCTATATTCATAGAAGCTAATTACAATTTTCACAAAAATCATTATTTCATAGGACTGGACTTGTTGAATCAAAGATTCGTATCTTGGTTGGATGTCTAGAAAGAAATGATCATATATTAATTGCTCACATCAACCAAAAATCCTATTCATGTGTTGAAGAGTCGTAAGTTCGAATATTTTCAAATATATTTTAGCATTTGAGTTGGTTATTTCTAAACAACCTACTAGTTGTTATTTTTGCACTGCTGCTGGAGTTTGGGTTGTCAAACACACGTCCTCGAGTGATAAAGAAATCTAGCTATTTACAAATTATTCTATTTGAAAGTATGATAAAATTCAGATTTTTTTTGTCCTTATTGACCATTTAACTTTGCCAGCAAATAACATGTTTTTAGTAAGAGGAACCCCAACTATAACGTCTTTTTATTTTCAGCCCAAAACATGTAACACGATGGTTTCTTGGTCTTCAATTTATGAAAGATCTTCAGAACACAAATATTAATTTAACACATGATATTCAGGTCAGTGAATATGTTTCATTTTGCACAGATACTGTTTATCCTACAAAACGACTGATATAGACAAGGCCTAGTTTGCATACTGGTTTTTAATTATAGTAATAAGGATTTTTTGTTTGTCAAATTTTATTTTGTTACATGTTTTTTTGAAACCCCAACAGAGTTTTACTGACACTGTGCATCGCCAAGCACATAATTCAGGAGTTTATAAAGATGACATGAAAGTAGAAGCTACTTATGCCAAAAGAAATCACCTTGTTCGTTACCTCCCTCAAGAAGTTGCAGCTACTCTTAGATTATCTGCGAGCAAAAATCCTAGAAAAAGGGTGAGTATTATTGTTTAGAATACAAAAGCTATTGAAAGTTATTCATTGTAAAATTATATTATTTCTTTATTCAGCCAAATACCAGTTCTGCAGTTGACATGACAAGAAACACTGACAGCCCTGCATCAGTGGGAAGTGCCGAAAGTAAACGAGAATCTCGAGAACCTATGAATGGTGCAAATGAATCGAACATTACTGATGATTCTTCTATTATGGATAATTCAAGAACAAACACTCCTACCCCACCTCCTCTAACATCTACACCTGATGTTCTTGTTAACGGTGCTGCTGTTACTTCATCATCCATCGAAACACCTATGGTGACATCTCCTGCAAAATCAATAACTACTGATGCGATGGAGAGTTCTTCATCTCCGCTAATTGATAGCTCGAAAACGAACATCCGTCAAGAATTAGGTGTAAAACCATCTCCAATACGTGCACCTTCGCCCGGAGTAAATTCCAGTGGTGAATCACAATCTGCAATGAAAGCATGGGATGCTCGCCTGGAGAGTCTACAACAAGGCCCATTGCACTCATGGAGTGAAAAAACCAAAGATAGACAAATAAATGATTCTTCTGCAAATTATGCACAAACTAGTGCTCTAAATGTAACAGCAGCACAGCAAGCTACTGCTGGGAAGTCTATACCTACAATATATAATCGCAACGCTCCACCGATGAGGCAGCAACAAGTAAGTCGCCTCTCAGCGGCAAACATCCATCAGGGTAACTCAATTCCTGTAATAAGTAGAACCGTAAATGCTCAACAATATGGCCAACATCAAAGAAGTCTTCCTCAAGTGCAGTATGTTCATTCCATTCAGCATTCCCATTCTCCTATTCATCAGCAACAACAAATTCCGACAGTAATGAACCATCAACCTACGTTTAATCAATACATCCAACAACAGCAGAGCCGATACAGAACTGTGCAAACACCAAGCATGCAATCTAACAATCATGTTATTCAAACTATTCCTTCGACATATTCAAATAAGAATGGACCAATGTCAAGGCCCATTTCTGAGGTAATATGCAAGGGTAATTGAAAACATCAGTCAGAATTAAATTTTGAAAAACCTTTAGACAAAAATACTTAATATTTTAATTATTGAGCTGGTACTGGTACTTATATCAAATGAATTTATAGCCTGAAAAGTCATTTGTAATGCAGTTAAATATGCAGATAGCCTTTTTTCGCTCAAATGTATACAAAATACACCGATAATGCTATTATTAATTAGTTCACCAAAATCTTCTTGTTCATTGAAAAGTTTAAATTGTTCTTTGTTGAGCATTATTATCTTAGGCATCATATTCGTTGTCATCAATTATTGTTAAAATTCTATTCTTTTCACGCATTCAGCCAATCGACATCAAGGGAAGCTCTTTGAAACGTCCACATTCTCCAATGCAGAGTGAGCAATCTGGGAATCTCAAACTTTTCAGTCCCGAACGAAGTTCTTATATTTCATCAGGGGTGCTGATTGCTGAGTCTATTTTATTTTTAAAACCTATATTTAAATTTTTTGGGACAACGACACTTGTTTTACAGTGAAAACCAATTTTTCAAGAAAAATTGAGCTTTGACTCGTTTTTCGTTAACTATTGCTATGTATAAGATATAGGTTTGGTAAAAGCTTCTGTATAGAATTCTCTTCCTTTGTTTGGAATGATTGACCAGAAATTGTACCTTTTGAAGGCAGATGCTTGCACCTAGTTATGTAAAATTAATGTAGATGTATAAAATATCTTCTGTTTTAATATATTGAAATGCAGCATTGAACCCAATTTGTTCTCTTACATCAAAAAAGATTAAAACTCTAAACGAGAATTGGCAAGCCACATTTTTTGACATCTTAACTTATTCTCAAAATACAGTTGCGATCTAAGGATATGGAACTGCCAGATGTATCAACGCCTACAGAAAAAAATTTACCCACGGCTGGAAAAAATACCATACGTTTAAAAGCACAGAGGTAAATGGTAACAGCTGCCAGTAGTCCTTCGAGTTTTTGCTTACCTATTGAGAAGCTATCGTAGAAATTTGATTATATAAATAGTGTTAATCTTACATCTTGAAAATTTGAGTTAAATTCTGTGTGAACGGTTAATATAGCGTTGAGGTTTGGAAATGATCTGGTGGTGTGTGATCTTAAGAACTAAAATTGTTCATATTTTGCAGGCCTAAAACTAAAACACACGACGGAAGATAACGACAGTTCATGGAAAGGTCGGTAAGAATAAAAATTTGATGATTGCCAATTAATATTTTTATGAAAATGTGAAACTCCCCTAGATATTGATGTTTTTCAGATCTACATTCTCATCTAAATCCTGAAATCGAAAGTAGTCGTATTCGCTACCAGAGCAGCAAAGTGTTGCAACTGCGTTCAGAGAGAGCAGTTCTTTGAGGTGATGCGGTAAGTATGTACTCGCTGCCGTGAAATTGCATACCCATTCGGATAATTGTGGGGACTGGCTTTACCCGACGTTGAAAGCACCGGTACAGGAAATCTGTGCATCACTTTTCGGCATAACTTCTCAAGAAGTTGTGATTTTATATTAGACTTTTTTAACTTTTATAAAAAAGAAAATTATAAAAAAAAATTTAATTTACTGCTTCTTTTCTTAAATGTGAAGTAATATTCTTTATTTGCTACTCTCACTTTCTCGTTATGCCATTATCAGTCACTAATTAAAGAATTGAACAATTAGAAAACTTCTCATCAATTTCAAAAGCAAAAAAAAATTAAGGAGAATCTACCCACACATTATGCATTAGATTACCATAGTTGGCACTGAGCACTGAAAGCACAGAATCGTTTTTTTTCAATTAAGACATAGTAGTCTATCACGGTTGTTGGCAACTCAAAGACAGCTATTGTGGCTGACATTCCAAATTCAAGATTGCTCATGCTAACTATATTATTTCACTTTTTGCAAAGTTAAGCGATATTCAAGCGATTGTGTAAAAGTGACCTCAATTAGTTTGGTGGAATTTGTTGGGTGTTAGGGTTCTTTTATGTTCCTGGAAACTTTATCAAAATAATATATATTCAACAGCTTTGTCCATGTAGTACATACAGTGTTCTTTATCATCTTCTGAAATTCCTTAAATATTGGTTTGAAATAACCCCAAACTGGTCTCGATTATATCAAGATTTATCGTTTCAATATGACTATATCTAATTGATCATTCTTGCACATGAAATGTTTTAATGGGAATCCATCTCAGATGCCATTTACTATTCTCTCTTTTCAGTGTACATCTTTTTTATTATTATCTTTTTTTTCTAAAGGGTTGTAAATTTAAATAAAACCTAAAAAAAATATAAAAACGAATTTATAGTTTTCTTTGAATATGCAAGTAACTATTAAGTCTATGAAGGTTAACGAGCTATGCCATCACAACAGATTTAGCTGGCTGAGGTTGCTGCTGATGATTGTATATCTAGACTGGTCTCCGCAAAACTATATTTTTAGTCAGTTAGTGCGTTATTATAATGAGGCGCTGCAGCACATGATGGTAGAGTTGTATTAACGATTAGGAGTTCTTCTATTGCAACCTCCTGCTGTATGGGGTCGCCTCCTAGCGGTTTGTTGTGTGGTACTTCGGGATGTATAAGCTGAACCAGGCCTAGATACTGAAGCTTGAGAATAGCACCTTTGGTATTCTGTCATCCAGATATCGGAATTCTGCACCTGAATAGAATTGAAGGGTTTATATTTCATATTTTCCATGGACATTCCCTCCTGATTAGATTGGTTACATCTCAATTTTTTTACTTCGGTAAAAGTGTTACATGATGAGTTTCCCACCTGCTATATTCTATAAAAACCACTTTGTTAAAAGTCAACGTGGTCTACCTTTTGTTTGATTTTCAAAGCGGCTGCCACAGAGGCTCTGCTTTCTGCTCTATCGTCCTTCTGTCTCATTTGTTTCTCTTTTACCAGCTTCAATTTCTTTAAAGCAGCTGGGTATACCTGAAACATTGTTAATATATTTATGAAATGAAAAAGTTACATGTCGAAATTATTTATAAAATCAAACAATCTTAAAAATTGCACTTTGCTTTTAAGTATTCTGTAATATTGTGCCACCCATTTCGTTTATATTGTATTTCATGATCGGTTGCCAATTATTCAAAATGTACTCACATAAACTTTATTAGCTTTTACATTGTGTGTCCTTTTCCTGGCTGTTTCAATTTCTTTATCGGCCCAGCCGTATGTAACGAATGGTGGTTTGTCTTCCGTTTCTACTTCTACATTTGACCTGGCCCGTTTCTTTCTGTGATCTGTCTCCTGGTGTATTTCAGTAACGGCTATAAAAACCAAAATATCTTGTTAATATTTCAAGTTTGCAAACTGTTAGTTTATATCGAGCAGCAACAATCTGGATATCTTCTGGATAGAATTTTATAATATCTTACTTTCGAAGGAAAAGAAAGTCAATGCTGGCCTGTTGAATACTCCAATAGCACAGAGGGGATAATTAGCCTATGTGAAAGAGGATTACTGGATCGGGTATGTACGAGTACTAAAATATTATTGAACTCCACCAATTATTTATCTGTCTGTAGCCTATATGTTAGCAATGATGAGAGCATTTCATGATTTATTTTTCGTAAGTGTACATGAATTTTTATCCAAGTTCTGAGTTAGGATATAGTAATGTAGCCTATATTGGGAATTCCATGGCTTTGGACGCCTCTATGTTATTATTGATTCACCTTCTGGCTCTGCAATTGTATCTTCATCTGCTTGATCCTGATTTTCTTTTCCAATTTCATTCTCATGCATAACAACATCATCGTGCTCCTTTCCGAATGCGATATGCTCTTCATTTCTAAAAATATAACAATGTGTAAATTTCCAAAGTCACTAACAAGATAAATCTCTCCCACTCTTACTCGTTTTGTGAAGGTGTGCTGCAACCACTGCTGTCTGACGAATCCCATTTGATCTTTTCATGAGCAAACTCTCTTTCTCTTCGTAAATTTCGGTATTTCACCATTTGTTCATGCAGTTCGTTGCAATATTCTGTAGGTATCTTTTGGTAAGACGTTTTATATTCTGAATTCCTTGTCTTCATTTTTAAATATTCTTGACGCGAAAAAGAAAACCAACGTTTGATTGTTTTGGTTCAATACCTCACCATGCATGACGAGCGTCACGAAACTCGTTACGCTTCCTCGATTTTTAAATCTAGCGGTTCACAAACCGAATACAGTGATATCTTCTATCTTGGTAGTCGAACACAATTCGTTCAGAATTGGTATTCGACTACGGATTTGCTCAAGTTCCCAAATTTTTTTTTCGATAAGAAACAAATGAAATTACTTTACGCATTCTAAAACATTACCAAAACGTGTTCCTAACCAACAATAATTATTTAAATGTTTACACAATAATGATTAGTGATAGTGTTTCAGATCTTGGAAATTATAGACCTATTAGTCTTTTACCATCATTTTCTAAGATTCTTGAAAAAATAATGTATAGTAGAATGTCAAACTTCTTTGAAACTAACAATGTTTTCCACTCGCATCAATTTGGTTTCCGCAAGCATCACTCCACTGCTATGGCTGCTAATGTTTTGGTACACAAACTGACCAAGGCCTTTGAAGGCAAACAACATGCAATTGGAATATTTCTTGATATTTTAAAAGCTTCCGACACCATTGACCATTCCATCTTTTTAAGTAAACTCTATCACTATGGAATTAGAGGCGTCCCATTCAATTGGATCAGGAGCTACCTGCAAGACAGGAAACAAATTGTGCAATATGACAACTCATTCTCTACAAATATTTGTGTCATGAAGCACGGAGTTCCACAAGGATCTTTACTTGGCCCATTATTTTTTCTAGCTTACATTAATGACATGTCCAGGTGTCTGAAATCCTCTGAGTCGATCATGTTTGCTGATGACACTGACTTGATTCTTCATGGGAAAAACCTTGAAGATCTATTCACAGTTGCAAACCAAGAACTAACCAACATTCATAGCTGGATGTTAGTTAATAAATTATCTCTTAATGCTAACAAAACTAAATTTGTATTATTCCACCCAAGCAAGCATAAAAGTGTGAGTTGTTTAAAACCACTTCTGCTCAATGGCAATGAAATTGAAAGAGTGAAAGAAATAAAATTTCTAGGAGTTATCTTTGATGAAAATCTGTCATGGAAATCACAAATTTCGCATGTTATTGGTAAAACAAAAAGGAACTTGGCAGTTGCTGCCAAAGTATCCCAGTGCTTTAATCAATCAGCTTTACTAGCAATGTTTCAATCTCTACTACTAAGTCATATCCGATATTGTAGCTCAGTCTGGCTCCATGGTAATAAAACACTCGTCTCGAAATTGCAAAGCATTTGTAATAATTTTTTAAGAATTGTCTTTAGGAAAAGTCATTTCTATAAATCGCTAAATATACTCAAGGTTGAAGACATAATGAAATTTGAAGTATTATCATTAGTTTATGATTTTCATGACAATTCATTGTCAAACTGCTTTGACGACATACTAACCGAAACCACTTCCAATCGAAGAAGTATTTCCAATTTATTTATACCATTTATGAGTAAATCTGTGAGCCAGCATGCCCTATGCTATAATGGACCTAAGCTATGGAACTCTCTCCCCTTGAATTTGAAGTCATTAAAATCCAAAAAATCATTTCAGAAACAAGTTAAGTCGTACTTGGTATCCAAATATTAAAAGGTATTTTTTCATAACCACACTGATATATATATATACTCTTTCGTATGTAATTAGCTACAACGTTTTGATAGCTCGGACACAAAAAATATTGAACCTTTATGAATGACCATGATAAAAAGTTGGGACACTCTTCACTTGCGCATACTTATTTTCATGAAAATATTAAACAGCTACAATATTGCTATTGCCCCTGCAGCTGCTGATTGTTGTTGAGCCGGCAGTTAATCTCTCCCCACCTGTTCTACATCTAATGTTGGTGTGTCGGGTTCTGTAGCATGCATAGCATATTATTTTATTTATTTATTTTTCAAATGGCTGTTTACACTCTGACATCTGCATGCGCATGTTCCCTTCTTGCTTAATGTTGGATTTTTGACATTACACATGCATGGTCTTTGTTACTATAAGGGTGGTGTGATACCTTATGAGGGTTGTAGACCGTATAGTTTAGCCGTTTTAATTTGTTGTGGTATTCTATGATTTGTCTTGTGTGTATACAAAATTTTATCCTAGGCTGAGGCTCTGCTGTGAAGTTAGTGTGGTTTGAGAGTTTCTGCATGGTTTGCGAGGAATTCACCCTGTGTCCCAACTAGGGCTGGGCATTTCGAATCGAATATTCGAATCGAATCGAATAGTAAATTATTCGAATCGGTTCAGACTGGAATTTCGAATCGCCGCCATCTTGTTTTTATCTTTCCGCTAATGGTCGAGGTGAATTCCCCAATTTTTTTTCATTGAAGTCATATTTTTTCAACGAAATTCTAACATATGACTATTTTCTGTAGTGAGTTATTGATAAAACGTGTTTGTTATTCTGTGTGAACGCTCAGTAATCTATCTGAGTGATTTATTTTATGTCTTCAGTAATTCATTTGTTGAGAGGACCAATTACTATGATAAAGTCGCTTACAATTTTATATTTTCAAGTATTCGAGATTCGATTCGATTCGAAAAAATTATTCGATTCGATTCTGAAATCACAAGGTATTCGAAAATGCCCAGCCCTAGTCCCAACCATAATTCAACTCTGGTCTTTGAACTAGCGTTTTAAAGATAGATAACTAATAATCACTATCTACTCGAAATAATAATTTATTTTCAACAAAAGTGTAGGGTAGTGCTGTTTCCAAATATGTAACCCTTGAATATCCTACTCGCAGATTTATTTTCTGTTTTTCAAGTCGTTCCGTGATGATCAATACAATGGCTAGTTTATTGAATATAAATGGTGTCTACAACAACAAAATTCGCAGGCTGATGTCTCATCCACGATAAACTTGAATTGACATCTATTACGCCACAATAATTAAATGAAGAATGAACCTGTGTAATAACAATACTAATTCCTTTATCCTTGCAGAAGTCAATATCTAAGAATGAAAAAAAAACCTTATAACCTTAGTAACCAACATATTCCTATACCCTGTCTTCCTACCTTAATTAATTATAATTACTCATACTTATAAAGTTACTGATACATTTAAATACTTATTACAATCTGGACTATAATTTGGCAATAATAGGCTCTAGTATGGGGAATGAATGGGTCTAGCCTAGCCCACCTCTTCATGCACCCAATTCTGGCAACTTTGGTTGGGCATTGTGGCATTTGACTCCATCTATAATCAGCTTGACAATATATTTTTTTTATAAAAGTTTATCTTTACTGTTCACTCCCATTTATAAAATTGATCAATTTGGCAGTGGCAATCATCATAAATTTATTGATATGGTGTGGCAAGTAATTTTTATTTATTTATTTTTTATTAACTACCAGTATGTAATTTTTCATGTTCCCTTTACTTAATAACTTCTATATGGTTGTGTGTGTGGGTGCGTGTGAGCGTGTGTGAAATATTTCAATTATTTTAGGTGAGTGAACACGTACCACATCTTCTTGGCAAAACCTTCCATCTTATATACATTCTGTACGTTTTAAACCTTATCTAAGGTTTTGTTCGCTCTCCTGATTTCATAATCAGTTTTTATTTATTTTTACCATTCATTTTATTGTTTTGCTGATTATGGAGTCGAAATAAACTTATACTTATACTTATTAGACCTAATATAAATGAAAATATAAACAATTTTGTATCCGTTACTGTACGCTCAAGCAAATTTCTGTGGGCTCTTTAGGATTTTGTTTTTTTTGTTTGCGATGACACCATCAATAATTCCGCCCCCTGTGGTGGTTCCGTTTCGCGGTAGTCGTTAAGATTGATGTAATAGTAGCTTTCTATTCGTACCGAATTCAAATGTGTGTTGCTTTAAAAAAAAAAACGATTCAACTGTAAATGTCATTTTTCACGTCAGTGTACATAACGATCGTTTCAATATTTTGTTGTTGTTGGACACGTAGTGGACATAGCGATCGTTTCAATATTATGTTGTTGTTGTTCTTATTGTTGTTCTTAGTGTCCTTGTTCTTTGACACGTTTTGAAGAAATCGCTTTTCTCTTCGAATACTGGACCAATTGCTTTGAAATTTTCAGTGGTTGAAGATAAAAATTTTCTCCAGAAGGCTATTACTTTTTTTGAGCATAGCTCTCTTGTTCTTGTTATTCTTCTCCTTCGTCATGATGAAATCGCTTTTCACTTCGAATACTGGACCAATTGCTTTGAAATTTTCAGGGATTAAAGATTGATTATTTTGCCAGAAGGCTGTTACTTCAATTTATTTCAAAAATTTCTGTGGACTTCAAGAGATTCGTTTTTATGTGTCAGAATACAAATAGCGACACCTTGTGATGTGTCCATATATTTGAGCATAGCTCTCTTGTTTATGTAGAGACCATTTTAACAGAAAAATATGGACGTGCTATTAACGTGAAAATAACACGATAGTAATGCTAAAAAAGGTTATATATACAACAACTCTGGAAAATAAAAAGCATATAAATTTAAATTTCGTAAAGCAGTAGTTCTTAAATTTTTGGGTTAAGACGCTTTTGCAAAAACTCTCCGGGCATGCGACGCACTGCTGAAGAAATATTTTAATACAAAATGATAGGAACACTAAAAATCAAGTTTGGTTAGCTTTATGGTACGTGAGGGCTTAGCAATGTTATGATATAGCTCTTGGATAAACCGATTGTATCGTTATTAGTACAAGCAAGCAAAATTAGTACAATATTTTCGGATATACTAAATTGAACTAATCTTACAACGAATTCAGGAAATAACAATGTGGAGTGAATTTATTTGTAAATATTCACTACATTTATTATACGTCCCAACATTCAGTAGAGTAAGTTGAGTATGACTTACCAATTAAATATTTAAACGACGCTAAATTAAAATGACTCGCCAGTGCGCCGTGTCGCACCATTCGAAACTCCTGTTGTAGAGAAATAAGACAATATTTTAAAGGTCTCAACGAAGTTCGCCGACAAATATCATGGAGTTGGCAATTATTCATTGTTGAATTCCTTCCACCATGCGATCCTAGTCTCGAGAAAGATATTGAGGAGATGGAATCAACCTGATAAGTGGAATCGACACTGTCTGTAGAGCATGCATATTCAAGAATAACACAATGACATGGAAGTTCGTTTAGACGATGTATTTCAATCAGAGGTTCTAGAATTCAGAATTGCTTCATTCAGGAATATTTAGGACCACGAAAGTATTGAGACGGAACATCACATTTCAAAGCGATTTTGAACTCAACCCATGTTTCATATTAATCGTTTGAATTGAACCAAATTGAAATATTCTCACATGCGGGACTAACATATCAAAATACGCGTTCCCCGACTACCATATGACACATGAGCGTTTTGTGACCCCTAAAAGTTTAAGATTGTCTTGGCAAGTTTAAAATAAAAATAAGTAGATTAAAAAAATTTAGGTGCAAAACCGAAATTAATCCTGTTTGATGTGCAAATTTCGTACGATAACATCAATAATGATGAGAATGAAAATATGGCCGTTAGTAGTTGTAATTTTGAAACAACTATACAATTACCTCAAGTGTAAATGTTGTTAACAAACAGCATCATGCAATTATGGGAAGTCATATATAGCAATATCATTTTTAGGAAAGTATTCCACTTCCATTATTTTGTTAATAGATCGTACAATTGATTGAGAATTATCTAGAGGAGTGTATTTGAATAACCTGATTGCAGAAACAATACCTATTTTAAACATTTAGCCACACACTGCTTAGCGTTGAACGTTTACAATAACATTTCACACTATTCCTTAGAAGTATATTTTGAATTCTTTATTTTGTTGATTATTTGCGTTATTCATTGATAATAAGGAAATGATTCCTGTATAACTGTATAATATATTGACCCGCTGATTCCTCTAGACCTGTGGTACGTGTACCACTAGTGGCACTCGAAGGTCTACCTACCAGGTGGTACGCGAGTCGATCGAAGGGAGTTCTTAGTTGAAGTGAGGTTGATTTTGAAGCCGTCGTGGTGAGGAACGTTGTTTTTCACCACTGTGGCGTCATAGAATGTCTAGGTTAGATGCGCGCACATATTCGCTCTTAGCGCTAAGGTGCTCCCACCGAAGTTCTCGTCGTGCTTGTACTGAATTATCTAAATGGTAAATATCGTCAAAACGGCAGCTCTAAAGAGTCCGCTGTTTAGGCTGATTTGTGAACAGCAAAGACGAAACACAAAGATTGTTCTTCAATTCGCTAAGTATGGCCTCCTCGTACCCGATGCTAGCTTCTCACGCTATTCCCCAGCTGATAAGTTTCCATTCTACGTGGGAGTGCAGGCAAGGATTTTTATCCCTTATGACTATCCACGTGACGCCCATCCATGACTTTCGATATGCTGTGGGCAAATTCATATCATACATCGACCACCTAGTGAAAAATAAAGAAATGCAGCCGTGCACAGAAAAGCGTACACAAGTTGTCCACGGAAGATATGCGTTGGAATCTGTAGGCCTGTGGAGTATAAGTAATCTTGTTCCCCGACAGGAAAAGCATGCAAGGATGATCCCCACACAAAGCCGTACTAGTATTCGACATTATCTTCCTAAAAAGACGTGAACAAAATCTGGAGTGGGCGGAATTGTATAGAACTTTTAAATTTTACGCGTGAAAGCAAGGTGTAAGTTAGAAAAAGACAAATTTCGGTTAACGATAAGTCTTGCTATGCGATTGACTTTTAAAATTGCAAAAGAATGTTTGTGGGAGATGGGAAATTACATGGGACTCTCGGCGATGGTCGAAGAGTATAGCAAACATATCGAAGGTGTATATTTTTGTGATATATATGCTGTTGTCGTCATAGCAAATTTGAGTTGCCTCTTATTATGTGGGATTATTATCAAAAAATCAATTGAACCTATGTACTTTTTGAGTCTCGTATTGCGAAATCCCCACTGTTATCTGAAAAGAACTAGTACGATAATCGTTATCAATGTCGCAATCTTATCGCGACTATAGGTCTATAATAGGTCTCAATCAAGCAATATAAGCAATACAATTATTTGATTATGGGAAGAAATTCTGTGGATTTAGTACTGGTATAGTATTAAAAGAACTTTTTTTTGCTAGAAGGCTATTACTTTTATTCATTTCAAATATTTGTGTGATCTTTATGCGATTCGTTTTTTTGTTTTGTTTGCAATGACGTCACCAAAATTTGCCACCTTGTGGAGGTTCCACGAAGTTTTTTATGGAGAACGGTGGACTGTGGGACCTGATATGATAATACAGAAGTGACTCGGATCAGTTAGTATTTCAATTCACGTTGAAACTGATTCATGAAGAATGGATCATCGTCACAGGGCCTGGAAAGGCTACAACAGTACCTGTACCCTGTCACCGGTAACCCTGGGTAGTCGAGTTGTTCGTCTGGTAAGTTACTGCATATGATTTTTGGGGAATTGATGATAGAATATTTCGTTTTGTATATATATATCCCTCCGTTGTGTATTTCCCTTCGTGTCCATATATTTGAGCAGAGTTCTCTTGTTTCAAGATATAATCGATTTGAAAGTTTATAAAATTGATATTTGTTTGATTTTTTATTCAGGTTAATAGTTCTTGTCCCAAATATTTTACTAATTGACCTAAGCAACAACAAACCCATGATTCATTAAATTTAATATTTCGAACCTTCCTTTTATCGTGGACCACTTTATTTGAAAAATTGGAATGCTTTTTTATTTATCAGAAACTGGGTAATGCTCCCCACTTCACGAAAGAAAACTAAAAACAAGCATTGTGACGTAAGGACTTCTGATCCCCTGACGTCCTCTTTCAGCTTTTAGTTTCTCAATTGTTTTTAAAGATTCTTAAGTGTTTTGAAGTCATCTTGTTATACGATCTTGCCTGTAACTAAAATTTCGTCACAAATTAATTTTGTGTTGTTCTCGAGCCACATTAGTCTCAAGACATTTGATTATTATTTATCAATATCATTAATCAATGTTTTTATATCAACAATTATGTTGGTCGTTGAAAGTCTCCAATGGGCACCCATTGTTTCGTCTCCCAACCTGTTCCTTGTATTAGATTTCAGACTCTTCAGACGGAAAAAGTGCTTTCGTAAATGAAGTGCTCCCGGACATCGGTAACATGCCGTTTTAGATTATATTCGTTTGGCACCGACAAACTTGAAGACATACCAGGCATGGAGGCTTTGCTTCCATAGGCAAGTTCTTTTTATCCCATATTGAGTTGAAAATCTGTTTGAATTGGTCAGCTTCCGTTTCGAACTCACGCCTACAAATCGACTTACAAATCACTGCAATTACTAAATTTCAGAAATTGTGAGGTATCCATGTCACTAGTAAATCCAACGACGTTAGTGACGCGACAATGTGTCAGAAGATTTCTTTCTAGACATACGGCTATATTTATGACATGTGGCCCGCGGGCCCGAATTCGGACCACTGTGGCCCAGGCCCTATGTGCCTCTCATGATCAAAATTCTGAATGATAATCAAATGTAGATGAGAGAAAAGTAGCCTACAGATCTATGACCGTTCTAGATTTGAGGAAAGCAAGTTTCGCGAAGCGATGGCTTGTGTGTATATGTGCAACTGGACTTACTGTATGCTAAACTCGTTTAATCTTTGTATTGTAATTTCATATTTGTGTTCATCGTTGTAAGATGTTTTCACATGTTTCGCGGGTACTGCTAGATGTTAATGAATGGAAGTTCAACTTAATCATTAGCAGCTATAGAAAGCCCATCACCCCGCGGCAAACGGCATTGAAGCCTCATTTACTTTACACTCATTTGCTTGCACAAAAAACTGAGTTGTACATATGTGTAGCACTCGGGGATACCCAATATCTCATTAAAGTCGAAATGCACGTTGTTTGTCGAAATACAAAAAGGGTCATTGTCGAGGTGCTTTGATTTGTCGAACGCTGACTTCTGGTGCCTTGATCTGGTCTTCTCGATGAAAACGCAGAATTTCCTGCAATGAGTTGAGCCAATGATAAAGATGTTTTTGGAAAAGAAGGAATTATAGTTAACTAAAATGTGCCAACCTTATTCCGAACTAACTTTCAACTTGTATCTAATTATGAAACATAATTTAATAACTTTGGACCTCCTGAAGTATGCGCACCAAGATGGCGCACAACCTGAACTTAGGTTGTGTGCTAGGTTAGGGTTCAGGCTATGCGACATCTTGGCGCGCATACTTTTATATCATACTTTTATATCACTTACAATACGTCAAACTATAGAAATAAACGCTGGTGTCAGCAATGACACGGAATTAACAAACATAGTTTTTGTTTAAAAGTCACACACAAGTCACACACAAAAAAAAATTGTTTCAATCATAAACTGCACCAACTGACACCTGTTGCCGATAAAATCATTGTTAATTTAGTATTTCGTGCTTCATGTTTTCTGATCTACATCCCAAAGTTATTTTTGTCAGCAGCAAATTTTTTCAATGCGAATATGACACTCTGTCAATTATTACCAGTGAGTTCGAGAATCGAAATATTGGAATCTGCTAAAACTCATATAATTGAATGTGCCCATAGTTATTATCCCTACTAATTAGGAAATCTCTGACCAGGCCGCTCGCTCTGGTGCAATACCTGCTCCTAATAAAATAGTGCGTCATGCTTTTTGCTTCAACGTGTACTAGGTTTTGGACAACCAATGGTCCTATGTATGCTATTAATTCTCGAATTCTCACCGTGAACTAGAAAAACTTTGAATTTGAAATATATAACTCACTAAATAAGCAACATGAATGAATGACAAATCACAAGTTCAGCGCCCCACAATATGACATGATGCCGTGACACTGATGACAATACAAAATGATCTGATCGATTAATATGAGATTATCAATGAAGAAAAAACTCAGATGATTTTTTACATTTATTTGATTCTAATATGTAATATTAATATTGACGATTACATCTACGAATCACTCTTTTAGAGATGATAAAGAAAATGCTAACGGAACACTTATGTTGTAAATATGGCAATGTCAAGCGGTATGCTCAACCATGACCTTGCCTTTTAATAATATACCAAAATTATGACACAAAGAGAGAACAACTAAGACAAAAGTTTCGTAACCAGAAAACAACCTTTTTTATGCTTTGCTTGGTCCTTTTTGAGAAGTGTATTTTTAGGATAACTAGTCGTAAAGTACGCGGAAGTTTATATAAACTGGGACTGATTAATTAACCCGACTATAATAAATGGACCTTCCACACGAACTATATTTCGAAGACTTGGATAATGGATGACTGAGCAAAGAACGAAACAATGTTAGTTTAAATGCTAAATTATCAATCAAATGACATGACATGAAAAATTATGAACAATCGATGAAACAAATGAGCAATTAAGCGATTCATGTGATTCATCTAATCTAGAGAAGATAATGATTTTTCTTCGTGGTGTAATTCGTAGAAAATTAGCTTTTTTGTATCAGATTTCAAGATGAACGACTTGAACCTTTCGCGCCATCTCCGTATCGCAATTGAATCTTACTTTGTTTGGGATCTTTTTGAGAGGCTTTGCGTAATAATTGAAGTCGAAAATTGGAAGACAGAAATGCAATAAAAATATTCATAATGATATTAACAATAAAAAATATAATAAGAACATTAACACAATTGCAATGGGAATAGTGCGAACATTTTGTATGAAGCAGATAAATTTCAATGACACCGATCCATCTGACATATCGGCGCGTTTTCTGAAGAAACGTATCAAATAGACAAGGGTTCAAATGTTGGAATCAATCGATTGAGACTCATGGCAGTTGAACAAGCTGGTAATTTTGACCGCAAAAAACTTTAACTAGCGTACGCTGCCGTTCAGAAATGGTTTCAGTATAATTTTTAATCGATAGAATTCCAAATATATATTCCTGTATGATGAATGGATTACGAACAGTTCGTTTCTGAGTGTAGCGTGCATGATAACAATGGGAATTGGTGAATGTTGACATTTTATAAAATAAACATGTAAAATGACAAAATATCAATTATCTGTACAGAATTAGAATGTGCAACATATACTTATGAATGATTAAAATCAGATCATTCAAATTTAACGAATCAAAACGTATATACTAGATGAGTACAAAGAAAAGATAAAAAACAAACAACAATATTTGAAAAGGAATGTCGACATGATAGTTTTTTATCACTCGGTAATATGTTAGTAATTTTAGGAGATAGAAACGTGAAAGTATCCAGAAAATTATTGAGCGAGCAGTAGTTACTATACCGCAGATTATTATACCTGAAGTTTTGATTAATGTGGTGCCATAATTCAGCATACACACTTTAACTTGTGTTAGTCTTGTTTTTATAGGCATTTTAAATCAAAAAATCGAAAATTATAATTTTTTCAAATTTGGATCTGTAAATAAACGTAATGGCAAAAGAGTGATGAGTAAAATGGAAGTTACATTTTCAAAAAAAAAACTATGGCATGAAAAAGAAAATACGAGCAATTACTATTGTGTAATTAGTGAAGAATGAACATGTTTTCTTGGCAATGAACAAACAAAATCATGAGAATGAAAGTGAATGAAAAACAACAATATAGGCTATACCAATATCTGAAACCAATAATATATCCCCTTCGTATTTGAAGCTAACGAACCAGACAATATATTCATGCTGTTTTAATTTTATTTGCAATATTATTATTTTCATCAATATTTGTTCAACAACAAAGTATAAAAAAATATATAATACATCCAATAACAATTTGCACTCGCTTCACTCCGTGGTACAGATATCACAACAGAAAAATAGATTCATGTAAGTGGAGCGCTTTTTGTCAGGATTCCCTAACGAAACATGACCCAAAGACAAATATCATCTTAAATTTATTTTACTTTCGTTTAAGAATCTCAACAAGATTTTGAGGAAGACAATTGTGTAATGGAAAACATCTGTGTGTCTTTAAACAATCAATGCTTTTAAATAAACTATAACAAATAAAGGCACCAACGTATGAAGAAAGCAGGCGGATTCAAAATGTTATATTTTCGGGTTGTTTTACGGAATGAAGGATATAGCAAAGTTGCGAAAAGAATAGTATTTGTTTTAGTTGTGTTCATTTATATAGAACAATAAAACTAAAGCAAAGTAGACATTCCAAATTAGTTTATTTAAAAAAAATATCCACTCACCCTTACGTCACATTGTCATCCACGAGCTTCTGATGATCATCTCAACATCACAGTCCTTCTTTATGCGGATTTATTTGTTATAATCATTGAACCTGTTTCTTTTGTCAAATTTCGTGAATGCCCAGATGTGAAAGTGATAATGTGACTGAACCATTTTGTTGCTTTAGTAATTAATTGGAAAGATTCTTGATCATTTTTTGTGATTTTGAGTAACGACAACAGCTAGAACGCTAGCTTATGAAATGACACCATGGATGGATATAACGAACAATTAATTCCATTCATTTTGTAACAAAATGATCATAATTACAAAGGTGGACTAAACGCCACCCAGTAGATATATCAGTCAATTTGGTGGTGATGACAAAACCATGTTATGTTTAGTTTGTTGGGTGAATGAACGCAAAAAAGAAAAAATCAAAATATTGACACGAAATTGTTTTCGAAAGATTTAGAAATTGATCTCAGCAAAAATGCAAGATTGTCACCTCAAGGGATAATTAAAAAAAAAGCCAACATGGTGTGAAATCTCGTATTGATGGTGTTAGTGTGCGAATGTGTGTGATCCATTGACTGATGATCATCACAGGAAGCTTGTGGATGACGATGATTGCAGGATGAGTAGGAAGAGGAGAACACAAGAGCTTTTACGACGTGCTGCAGAAGAGAAAGACCATGATTGGTGAATAATCGGAATTTGAATCCGCGGCAAAAGCATATGCGGTACTCACTTTTCTGGAATTTAACATGAAATGCGTTTTCATTTTTTCACTCATATTTTAGATGAAACGAGCAGGAGACGCTGCTGTTTTGTGAAGCAGATAAATGAAATACTGCGCTGAGAGTTTGAGCCATGTTATTCGATAAGTTTAGTCAAATGAATGGTAAATATGGGCGTATAAATAAAACATGTATGTATTTTATCACAGATGACAAGCGTAAATCCAGAATACCTATTTTTGTACGAAAGTTTTGGAAGCGCAAAATTATGATTGGCATGTTAAAATATCAGTTTGCCTATGGCATTTTTGATAAGATTGCCGTGAAAGCAGAAAAAATAACGCTAGTGCAATTAACAATATTACAGAAATTAATGAGTGCTCTGATGCAGTTACACTGCTTTCCACGAACGAACGAATGGCTATGACCCGCGTTCGGCGACTTCGTGGCGTCAGTAAAGCTTCCAAACGCAATGCTCATGTACATTGAATGACCAATCATTGGAATTGACTCGATTGGAAAAAGATGTTTTCTTGCGGATATATTCACAGGTCATATTATGATCACCTCGTTTCAAAATTTCCAATCGAATTTTGCCTTCCAAAATATGCACAATCTAGTTCAACCTATTGATTCGGCGATCCATATATGGCCTATGCTTAGAAGCGATATTTCTAACTAGATGAAACGACGGTTTAGTGAATTGATTTACAACTTGTGTCAAATGAAGCCATAAAACAACTGGATTTCAGTTGTTTTTATTGTGATTATATACATATTTGCTAGGTAATGAATGAACATTACTGACAAATGAGAGGCCCCAAAATCTGCCATGGTCTGTATAAGAGAGAAAAAAAGAATAAAAATATTTTTAGTTTGCTGCTATCGAAGAACGATAGTTCAATCTAGACGTCATTCTACATTGCTACTACCACCTCACGCCACAATAACTTCAGAACGGGTAATAAAACTAAAACGGACTATATTTAAAAATATTTCAAAGCATTCGCAAACATATATGTGTCAGCAAACACCATCGCACTTCATAATGAAAAGCGAACATCGTTCGCTGCATTCATTAAAACCTGGTTTTCTTTGTGAAGGAGGAGAGTATGTTCAATATAAAGGCAGAAGAGTTTTAATGAGTTTTTGGGCGCTGTACTTTTTATGATAAAGCAATAATACTGTTGCGCTGCAGTTTGAATTTTGAAATAACAAAGGCTCAAAAAAAAAATTGGTAAATATGGACTACTATAAATCTGCACGTTGCCTCATAGCTTAACAGAATGATTACAAATATTATATTTTTGATAAAAAAAAAATATTATCCATAATATATGCTATTCCGGAAAAAAAGCGATTTTTGCTGCAATCAAAACTTTCAATTTACAATTGCGGATAGAGTGATTAAATTTTCAGTCCTCCAAATATATTTGAAATAGCGAACACGAACGACGAAATGGCACATTAGCCTGCAACATATGCAATATAAAATTGTTTGAAAAAAGACTTTAACGGAATAACAATAAAATAAATAAATGACGCCGAAAAAAAGTTCAAATTCGAATCAAATAAAAACTTATTCAAAACATTATTTTTAGAAATTTACGCCCAATGAGTACGTAACGTAATGACGCCAAGGCAGCAAACGACGCATTATCAACACTGACGATGTGTACGAGTCCGTCAGGAAAAAAAAAATAATATTAAATAGGATTTGTCATGTCATGGAAAAAAGCGAAATAAAAATTATGAGGAACACTGAATTTAAGCGTAAAGTAAAAGGCTACAATTTTTTTACTGAAGACTATATGATTCACATTGCCTCAAGAGGAGTTCAATAATTTGGAATTTATTTGAAGTAAACGCCAAAAAATCTACTAAAAGTCTAATTAACATGATCCTACCAGATCAAATATTATTCCATAAATTTTCATGCTTCTCCATGTTTGAAAAGAGCTTCCCAGACATGTAATGACTGTATAAGGTATGTAGAAATGTTCAATATGTTTATAACTTACATCTGTATCAGCGTCCATACTTGCCTATTTTTTATAACACTTGAGCCTGTTGTGCTCTAGCCGTTTGGACCGTCATAAGACGTTGTGTAATAAGAAATTGAGCGGTCTGTGGTCCCGGAGGTTTGCCGGATATCGACACCCTTCGATTACGGGTACCCGGCACGTACTCACCCTTCTTTGAAATTTGAATACGGGTTCCGGATATTTCTTGGTACTCGACTAAGGTCTTACCTCCTTTACCGAGTATGGCTCCGACTAAAGATTCCGGCACAGAAAGGTCTATAGTTTCTTTGAGGCCGTCTGTCGATTTCTCTACACTCAAAAGGCCTGCAGCATGAGGGCTTACGCTTTGTACTTGCATCGCCGTAGCGGGAACCGGAGAAGGTGACATGCTTATAGTTGAAGTAGGTATGCTGCTACCGCTTTGAACTGCCCCAGCATTGGTTGATAGAAATTGGTGGCCAGTAAAATATCCTGCTGAAGCCATGTTAGCCAGATAATTATTAGACAACACTACTGGCGCAGCTGCTGCTGTGGCGGGGTATCCTGCGGCCTCGCCGACGGTTGGCATTCCAGTCGTAAGCAGCTGCGCGTTTGCTGGACTCAATGCCGCCGATCCAGCGGGAATGACGCTATGCGTCAAACCAAGATGATGTCCGTATGCGTTGCCGGCACCAACACTGTATCCGTAATTGGCTAATGTGTTAACGGTTGCATTGAAAGCAGCGATTTCTCCTGGTGTCGAAGCTGTGGCAACTTGAGATTGCTGTAAAGGATGTCCGTGTACTATATGTGATGGAGAAGCAGCAAATGGAATCGCTTGAAGCCCTGAAACAACCGGCTGTCCAATCATGGCGGACAGCTGTGCTGGTGTGGCAGCGATTGTTTGAACATCGGCATAAGCGGCAGTGGCATAAGGCGATCCTGTTGGATTAGCATTTGCCACCGGTCCCGAAATTCCGGCATAGCTAATATTTGGGCAGCTGGCGCTCTGTGGATCGTCCTTAATTTTGCTTGTGATGATATTCGAAGCAGAAATAAGCTGAAGTTTCTCTCCCTTCAATGTAATTACTCTTTCCTGCAAATTCAAACCGTCCGGTTTTTGTGACAGTTGAACTTTAGCCCCACTTTCTTCCATGATGGCTTTGATCGTTGCTCCGCCCTTCCCAATAACTAGTCCGGCGGTTGTGTTGGGGACAATTATTTTGACCTGTGATATACAAAACAAAGAAAGAAATCGTCAATTATTCTGAATATTTAAAAAGAGGGCATAACAGCAGATGTGAAAATACAACAATATTTATTTCATAATATCATAATCCATATGTCGATAAACCGTAATAAAGATATGCATGTGACATTTGACCCATCTCGTGATTGAAGAGTTCAAAGTGCAATTCAAACCCTATCGGTGACTGACATATTCCCTGAAGGCCACAATGACCACTCGCTTATATTTGATGCTGACAGAGGTCAACGAGGGGAGATTGGTATTTCTTAATGCACCGCAACATCTTAAAAAAGAATTGAATCGATTTAAATAATCTGACTTTCGAAACAACTCGTTGCGGAGTATCTCAAGTAGAAGAAGCTTTACATAGTTATTTATATCTCTGATGGCTGGATACATGTGATTCCACATGTACTTTATTATCTTGATAAATTACTAAGAGAATAACATGTAATGAATAATTTGTATGATTTTACAAATACTCAGCACGATCAGTGGATGGGTGAGCTTATGGGTAAAACACCCACTCCACTCTCCACCACTTCTCCCCATCGCATAGAGTCGATATCCAATAAAAACACATGGGTGCAAGCCTGGAAATTATTTGACTTCTTTTGTATGAATGTAAAATTAGATGCCAGTTACTTATGGGGATGTTGGTCTGGATAAACCGTGTATAACTTTGCGATACGCCGAATAGAGTTTATACTGTTACCCTTCACTCGGGACTAGTTACACTTCAAGATTGCACGTTGTGCCAGGTCACCACTGTTACTGCATCAAAACCAATATCGATCGTAGAACGCGCACCGCGTGCCTAGCGCTAGAGGGTTGTCAATTATCAGTCGAAAGATATTTGCATCTATATTGAAAAAGTATGACTATGTGCGTGAGCTTATGCTGTGTGACTACTGTGTGAGCTGCGTCCCTTGGGGGTTCGACGAGAAAATCCTATCTTACAAGACAACAACAGCGCGTCACGGAACAGCTGCCTTTCGCATAATATCGCGATGAGGGAAACAATTCACAGTTCATGCACCTTTAAATATTATAACTCACAGCATAGAAAGAAATTTCATATATGGAAGAATCGCCGAGTACTTTCATTTATAAATTAAACAACTTTGAATTATTATTAATTTCCCTAAAACAAGCACTAGAAATATCTCAGCAGCTGGCTTGGGTGGCTAGATTAGGATGAAAAAACGGATCTACATACGGCCCCAGTCGCCATTTAAATTGCCCTCCATTACCAATGATATTATTTGCACTGGCTAGTGAGAAATACTTGACTTTCCATGCGTGTGGATCTTAATTGAAAATATTCACAAATGTATAATAATAAATTTAAACATTTTATTGTCCGTAGAATTGTTTCTGTAGATTACGATGATTACAATTGAAAATCTGCGAATGAAAATGGTCGATATATATTTGATTATATGCTTCCGACTAATTTATTGAACGACTGGATAAACTAAACATAAAGGTGACTGAGCAGTGAAGTGCTTTTGAAAATGAAAACGAGATTTAGTTATTTCCTGTCGCGGTAAAATCTCATTTTAATCTTTAAACAAAGAGAATTGATGGAAAGCATAAAAGATCATTGAGCTATCAGCCTTGATAATAATAATTCCAGTTTCATACGACATATTCTCAAGTGTCATTAATAACCTTGGAGTCTAAGTCCAATTTTATGAACGAACGGGTTGACCAATAAAATAATCGGCCATATCATCTCAAACCCAAAATTGCTTGAATTATTTTTGTATTGTGATAGGTAAATGTTACATTTCGACGTCAATATTCAAAAGGAAACTTCAGTCTCCACAAAAAATAACACTGTCATTTTTATTCCGATAATCGATGACATAAAATTATTTTATTCCTTGAATTTTATTGCCTGACATCTTTTTGTCACGATAGAGACTGGGACTTTATATTTTTGTTTTAAATATCATGTTTTATTCTAATAAAAACTCTGATGGTAGTGTAAATCATGATTTTTATATAAATTAATACCAAGAAATGTCAAGCCGTTATCTATTTTGTGAAAATCAAAACTGAGTAGTCGGTGAGGATAATTCGATATCAATTATCATTAATACCAATCACTTAGCAAGAACTAATATGAAACACTGCTGAAAAAAATTCAAGACCCTACTGTACTGTTCTAGTAACTGAATCTAATGATCAAAACTTTTGCTCGACATCAGCAAAGGATGCGTTCCCCGCATATCACAGACTCAGCCAAAAGTAACTTAGCCACGTAGAAAATCAACTTTTACCGTTATATACCAGTTTGTACAAGTTGCCGAAGTCACGAGCAGATTTACATTGCAAAATCCCATTGAACTTATATGGAGTAACTGTTTGTATAACAGTAACAGATATATCGATTTGCGAATTACATGGTTACACTCTCAGGCAACATATATTTAGTTCACAACATAGCAGAACGGTTTCGAAATAACAATTTATAACAGAAGAAAAAATATTAAAATTCAGTTCACGGGGTCAATACGCTGTCACCCATTCGTGTTTGACATGGTAAGGGTTACACACATTCATGCTTAAAATAATTGGACAGCGCATAAGGTGGTGTTTCAAAATTACAAAATGAACCAATATAGCATGGTAATGAAACGATTTATGGTCACGCACCGTTCTACCAATATTTCACTCTGCAATTTACATGCGAGAAAAATCACTTTTTCATTTAGAAATATTGTCATCCTAGAACCGACCAATACTTATCCAAGTAAATTTTCAAAAACACGATCTGACTCAATCTGTCGAAACCTGATTCACGATACTGTTATATTTTGAAGCCACCTTTGTTCCTGTATCGACGTTTCTGTCAATCTACTTTCATATGAACAAGGTGACTCGCACCCTTTTCTGTTTCACTTGATTAGTGGTGTCATGTTTATGTCCTAAGAGTGAATGATTTTATCACATGATCGAATGTAAAAAAATAGAAAAAAAAAAGGGGGGGGGCTTTCTTTATCTATTATGGCTTGTGCACTATGGTTACAATTTAACTTCAATTGCATAGGCAACCAGTGAAACAAAGGCTTCGAACCCATTGATGTGGGCGTATTTGCCAAATTTTAAGGAATAATTACTTGGAACGCTTAACTATGGATTATATCTCCATTTCAATTAAGTAACCGATTTTAAATATTTATATATATGTTAGTTTATAAAAAATAGAGAAAATGTTTTTACATTTTTCAAATCTAAATTTTCGGTCAGCGAAAACAAATCCTCCGTTTTATTGAAATTAAAAAACTGACAGATTAGATTAACTTCGCGTCGTTAATAAATTTCTCTTTTGAAATATCAAATATTGAAATAAATATATCTAAATTGAATTTGACGTTTGTGTTTTTAATCTTTTTTTAGCGAATTTGTGATGAAAAATTTTACTCAACTATAACAACTAATTTTAATCGAAATCTGCTCTAATCTGCTACTTGCTCTCGAAAGTCTGGGAGAAAATTCTTCCACGGAAATTTATCGAGTTTGGGTTACGAATTTGGATTGACGCTACAAATTGTAAAACATCAAGGACATGTATCGCAACTCTAACGTTATTTGAAAATTAAAATTGAAAGCCTCCGTTTTTGAACAAACATGGGCCACAAAAGTGAACGTTTCAGGCATGGCTTATACATAGTCATGTTTATTGAATTGTAATAAACTCTGAACGCAGGGAATGCTGGGGCAGCAGTACCCACTTATCCAACACTTAAACTGTGGGAATCCGAAATAACTCGAAAGGGTTTGTTTGCCTGGACAAATAAAGAAGACACAAATCTATGGTGTAAAGTGTTTGAATGATTTGATGAAATGAATAAATTAAACAATTTTGGAAAAGTTGGCACTATGTATATTGTACCAATGTTAAAATTTCTTACTTCATAGAATTCAATTAGACAAGGTGTAATGCTTGGTTTGGATTGATGATGACATTAGTTTTCATCATAACTATTTTGGTATAATCGGATTGCCATTCATATTGTATCAATAATGTGTTATATTTTATAGCAGTGTTTCCCAACTTTTTTTGTGCATTCCTCTCTTTTCCTATTTGAAAATTCTTCATTCCCCCCTATCTATGCATAAAAATCTGTTTTATTTTACTGCTCAATCATTAGCTGGTGAGAAGCGCAATTTGTACTGGGGCTATAAATGAGTCAATGTTAGTAATATTACTCCCATAAAATTTGCTCCCAAAAACAGTAAAATTCCGCCCTGGTGAGAATTGAATTCCGCCCTTCCTGATTTGGAAACGTTGCTTCTTAGTGTGAATGTGGTCCCTATCCCACCGTAAATGTTAGGCGTCAGAATGATTTGTCGGGCCTTCCGCAGATATAACAGCGAACATCAAATTTTGAATATCCGAATATTCGAATCAGTCTGTCGTAGAGTTATAGAAATAACTTTTCAAAGAAGTTAAAATTCACACGTAGGGCACTGCGACAGTTCATACCGAACGCTGTCAATATAATACACAGGTGTTAAGACAAAGACGCTAATCAAAAAGGTCATTCACAGACAACGAAAACACACGATTTCCGTCATTCGTTAGTTGTAGTAAGCAATCAATAAGTCATGAAAACATGTTGAATTAGCAAAAACATTTTGGTAATCTCTCGACTCGTGATGCAATGTTTCTGTTTGAATGACGTAACAGATGACGAAATAAAAATGCGAACGAAGTATTCGTTATCAAAAGGAAATGTTGTCATCGGACATGTTGACGTATTTGATTGGAATTATTACCAACAACTGAATTATTGTCCATAGTTTTTGTCTATTTTAATGAATTTGATTCGAGGCCAGACTATGGGATTCTGTACTGAATGTTGTTTAATACATATTTGTACTGGATTTTGATCATGTGAACACCAGACACCAAGACGGCCTATCGAAAGAAGACAAATCGTAAGAACAAACAAACGTTTTTTTTTCGAAGACGATAGTATTATACAATGATAATTTCCAGCATAAATGGCCAACCTAATTCAACGTTTAGTTAAGAATATTTTTTGCTATCGATCGAAAGGGTAGGAATCAATTTTAAAAGTACATTCTCAAATTCAATTTAAATATTGAGGTCATAACTATGGAAGCAACAGGAAGCACCTACGAGTAAAAGCTTTTAATAGGTCAGAATTCATTCCACAAAACACCGCCACCCAACTTTGGGAAACTTTCTTACTAACTGATTCAAAGTATTGAGAAACGAGGTATAATCTAAACTTCATTTCTATATGTTTTGTTAAGACATGTGAATTAAAGTAGAATATTATATAAGTCGAATTAAAGAACGTTCATTACGCACGAAAAGCGTGTCATTCTTGAGTCTGATTTATTGCAGCAATATTTACAACCCTTTACTCAGGGGAAAACGAGAAAGAAATTTTTTGTGCGTGACACGTCATTTTCGTTCCCATTTTTTGTAATATTGTGACATGTTATTGTAAGGAAGCTTCATGAGAAATAAAAAGGGTTACAGCATGATAGCCATGAAATTAAGAGCTTGTAAGAAAATCTTATTTCTTTGCGAATCTCATGGCGTGAGATAATAATAACACCAAGTGATAAAATTGATGCAAAATATTCTAATCCTTAATTAAAAAATTAAAACTAGCTTTTTGGTTCAGACCCCTAGCGCTTACATCAATCATCATTCTCCAAAAATGTACATGCTTGATTATTACATATAAAGTATGCATGTAAGTTGGTAAGAATTGGTTCCAAATCTGGGAATGAAAATTTATTGTTGGCAATTGAAATTCATCTACCGTTTACGAACATTGGGGTCATTTTTTATTGAGAGTGCATTTGTAGCATTTGCAACTGTATACAGAATCCGCTTTTAAAATCGAGAAACGCAGAACTCCCTAGAGGTGACCGAATATATTGTCTGTTTAAAATCGAACAGTTGTCATATATTTATGAGCAAAATATGTTGCTTAATGTTAAAATAAAAACCGTTTCCTCTGGGAAGAAAGTCCCCAAACGACAACTTGTCTAGGAATCTAGTGCCAAATCATAAAAAAATGTAGAATAGCAATAACCTCCGAGTAAACGGAGTAAAAGTTCTGTGAAAATTGAAACGGGTTTCCTATAAACTTCACGTACCTGTTTTGCCCGATCTCCAATAATCGCAGTGAGGTCTTTGGGCACAGGGAAATCGTGTACTTTATCGATGATAGTGTTGTGGACTTTGGTTAGGCCTTCGAATGTTCCTTGTATCAACACAACCCGGTCCTGCGTACCTGAGGAAAACGAGAAAAACAAAACATTTAAAGCAACCGATCGGAAATAGGAAATTTATAGTAGTATTTCTGACGGCTTTGACATTGACTCGACAATTTAATCCCACTTTACATTTGATATAAAAAGACAAAACTACTATCTACATAAAAACTTTCCATAATTTTACTAAATGGTAATTTTCATTTCAAATGTTTTGATTAATCGACACCAAAATTATTTATATAAATGTTGACTGTATTTAAATGTTGTTTATCTAGATGCGTAAGGAGACGAAATTGGAAATTCAATTTGAATAAAATTCCAAATTTGTTAAACTCAAAGAAAAGAAAAGCATTTGTTGAGGAAGTAAAATTGTCTATTTGGCATAGTCTATTAAGAGTCATTAATACGACCTATTAACAGAATTCTAGTCGTACTTACTCTGAAATGACATTGAATAAATATTTGAAATGAGTATGAGTTGTGAAACAAATTTTTACATGAAGCCTATGGGTGGTAAAATCTCTTGTTCGCCTTACATGAAGGGAATTTTACATCGTTCACATTAAGAAATCGTCGCAAAGCACAGTTAAATACAACCTATTTTGTTGAAATATCGTTTGTGGATCGATACACCCGTATTATCCAGTACCACCCGATTGTCCCCGAGTAAGGTTTGTAGAATAGTAAAAAGAAACAAAAATCAACTCTCTATTTTCTCTGTATGTTTTTTTCAAATGCGAAATGAAAATTTTCAGTTAGGCCTATCGGCGGGCAGACGGCAATTTCAAGCAGCAAGCCACTTGGGAAAACTTTCGCTGCTACGCATAATACGGATCGAGTGTTTCGAGAGCCAATCATAAAACGCACAAATCTCGAACGCTCGCTCCCTTTCGAAAGCTGTGAATGACGTCTAGAAAACGGAAAAATTGACATAGATATTCAGAGTAACTTATGATATTTTCAAAGTGTGCTGTTGTAGTCTATTCCAAGAATAGCTAAATGCACTCTATATGTTACTTTCTATTTCACATAATATAGTCAAATATCTATACTCTAACGGGAATAATATACAAATAATCCTCGTATATTGCATAAGACCAAACAGCGCGTTCAAAGTATTATCCCATTTTATTCATCCAAGTATTTATCTCATTTTATGTTAATATCTTGTCTGTCACGAACGCGTTCCAAATTCAATTCAGCATTTCATAGAACACAATTTTGACTTTTCCAGTCTTCAAATAACGTTCCATTTCACTGACTTAAGTGTCTCACGTCCGGACAATGAGGGCTCTCGGACACAAAACATCTGGAAACCTTGAACACTCGAAATTCACGCATTAAGCCTAATATTTCAGATTCAAGAAGATATTATCAGGGTGATTGTGGTGTAAAATAAATCATAACGGATGAGTACGCCTCTGCCCTTAAATAAAAAGAACATATATATATCATAAATAAAATATACCAAAATTTACAGTGGCAAAATGAATTCTTTCTGGTTTGCTAATAATTGAAATGCATTTTCATAAAGGAGCAGAGCGCACAAATACAAAAATTCCAAATATTTTAAGCTTTCTATGCGATTATTTAAAAAAAATAACTTAAAAAAGTTGTGAATTAGATCTGACAAAACATTATGCTTTTACATTTCGAGCCTGTCTATTCCCAAGCATAACTTTCTACTCCTCGCGATCAACAAAATTATAGGAAAATCATAAGTGTGATGGTTCCGGAAATAAGGCAGAAAAGTTAACAAATACAATCCTCCCAAATATTGTTTAACATTTTCGTGGAAGATAACAAAGCACGACGACAGATGTTACGAACGTTTCATAACGAGCTTTCTACCGATCGAAAATGTATTGTGCTTTTCATGCGTAATACATCCATGGCCAATATTGGGCGCTAAGTGTTCTGTTACTTCGTATGGCACAACAAAATCCTGGGTTGACTGTGTATTAAAATGGGCGGAAAAAGTTGAAGGAGAAATTTGACGTCATCCTCCTGCTTCAAGGTCAGGTTTGATGTTAAGTTTAATTAAAAGAAAATACTTCTGGTATCGAATGAAAAATAAACCTTTACAAAACTTACAAATTTTACAAAAGTTGCTTACAGAATCGTTATCAGAAGATAAAGTAATATAAACAAAGTTCGCGGATTCATCGTTTTTCTATAGTTACGAGAGCAACAAACTTTCTTCACAGAGCGCTGGTATAAATTAGGACAATAGGACAATATCGTCAGCAAATTTGTGCTGATTCAGGAAGCACTGGTTCCGTCCGATATCTTGGCCATCCGATCCAGTTTATTTCAAACCATTCTGCGCATAACTTATATCGTTTCCGCCAACGTGGGTAGAATATCAGGGAGTTTAGACGAAACTTTTTGTCAGACTCAGCGTGAGACAGTCTCTACACCTCGTTTATTCGCCATTGTCCGATAGCGCAAATTGATTTACAGCCACCTCCAGATGTGGCCCACAGATATACTTGCCTCGTTTAATATATTTATACGCAGATAAGGTCAGTGACTCGTCATATGATCATAATTCATACTACCCGGCATAGTATAGCTGTTTTCAATAAACTTGATTTAGAGAAGGCGTGGATAAGGTGCATAAGACAACAAGTTCAAATTTAATTCCATTCATCCGATAAGCGAGTTGTTTCTTTCAAATTATGAAATCAAAACACAAAAGTAGACATCGCTATGTCAATTTATCGTGGGGAACATTTCAATTCATTAGTTTACTGATCAACCGAAGGGATTTTCAAAAATACCGGCTGGTACAAAAGTGTAACTAACATCAGTGAATCAATGAGTTTTTTATGGCCATTTTTAGCCTTACTAAATCTATGTATATTAAACCGAGCTACTTTTCATTGTTGACATCTGTTGTTAACGACAATTGGAAATATATGGCCCCATTTTCAGTGTACATGTTATCGACTTTGATATAATCATATTACCAAGCGTAAATAAACCTTCCCATCCTCCATGCGTGTTAATTCAAATTTTTCACATACCACCTGCTAGTTTTTCATACACAATCTATAAATGTATTTAATTCGAAGTAAACAAAGTCAATGATAATCAAGATCGATTTGAATAAAACCGTTTTCAAAAAAACAAAAAAAAATATTGGACCTTGGCAGCGTCAGCGTCCATTCGATAGTAAGACAAATTATACATTTATTCCGGTTGAATTTCCCGCGTTTCTATTTCACCACATAAGCAAGTATTGCAAACAACACGTTCAATGAAGATAACCATCTTAACATCAATGATTAAACCTATATCTTTGCCGCAATGATCGTCAAGCAACTGCAAATTTTCTCAACGTACCTGATTGTTCGTCATGGCTGAATTATCTTACACGAGTATTAGCGTTGTTAGATGAAATTAGATGTTGATAAAAAAAATCTGACAATTTTTTATTTAATGTAATTAGTTTCTAGGATTTGCAAGACTTCCTCAAACAGAATTCAAACCTAATTGTCTTTGGGATATACATGAAGCAGTGTAGAGAATTTTCGGAAATTCTATTGTTCGTTGTTCGCACCATTTGTCGAATGAACATTTAAAAACGAATATTCCGAATCGCCGTGACCTCGAAGATTGAATATGTTTTAACAAATGCATCGATGGAAAAGTACTATGTTAATGTGCGTGATCTCCGGGCGGTCGTATCATTTGTATATAAACCTCGTTTACGCAAAATCGATTAATATTTCCTAATTAGCAAGTCGTTGACGATAAATCAATATGAACTGACCCGACATAATTGATGTTGCATATTCAAAAGTAAAAAAAGAAAACATTCAATCGTGACACGTTTGCATCATCAATTTTATGTTGTGGCATCTAGTTGTCATGTGGCATGAACTAATATTTTCGAAGAGAAATTGATCGTATTCCGCCAGAATAAGTCTAGCGTCCTTATCAGGCCATGACTAAAATAGACATTTTTTACGCCCTTGTTTGCCAGTTGCCACAAAGCCAAAACCAAAATATACATGATGGACTGATGAATTACGTTTCATAATGCCACCGGATGAGCTGAAATCGTTACCTCGAATGCCAAAGACTATAACAATGAGACATGTTTTCAAATTGCAAACACGTTGTTACAATTTTTGAAATAAACAAGCAAAATGATGGTATACTGCTTTTATTGAAACTCTATATCAAATAATACTAAATCTACTCTCTGTGAAAGGGAGATTATGGCTTACTCAATTTATTGGACTGAAGGTGTAATGAAAAATGAACTTGTATTCGAGATCTTGTGCTCCACAATAGCAGAGTTTAACGGAATATGCTTTTGACAGGAAACAATTAGAGAAAAGTTCTTTTGTGTATTTTGTCTATTTGTACATTAATTGAATCAGGTAATATTGATAAATGACCGAAAAGTAAGTCAACAAATATTTCATTTAAATACTACTCAAATTCTTACGTTATTACTATTTGAAAATTTGTAAGCTGCACCAAATAGGCGTTTAAAAAGCATAGCCAACGGCATGATTTCGACTTGGCGCTGAAAGTAGGGGTATCAGATTCTTGCCAGCGGTCAACATCAGATATATTCTAGTTATACGTGCGATATGCGACAAAATTGATTTCATTTTCAGTTTCTGCAAGTGGTGGTAATAGACGAATGAGTTTGCGTACTCTAACGTTGATATAGTAATGAACCAAGAAAACAGATATCAAGGAAATAATTCTGCTAGAAAACACAGCACTTCGATTAATGACACTGGAGTACAAAACGAAAACAAAATCACAATGGCAACTTAATTCGTGCACTTTACGCTGTTATACGTAGCTTGAAAGGTGAACTTTGAAGATCACCCGTGATAAGGGTCCCATTTTCCGTATAAACTTAACATATCTCTATGCCATTATACCGGCAAGATACCCCGCGGGCTCATGGAATAAATCGCGACACAAGTAATTTGGGATAGCATTGCGGAATAGACCTGCAGAAACCTAAGAATCAGAAACATTATCGGAAAAATGTAAAATAATGAAACTTGCAGAACGTAAAATTGAACTATTCAACCAAGCCAAGATTAATTCAAATTGCTTAAAATTAAATAATCCTGAATTAAATGGTATCCGACAAAGTTTATATCAACGAGTTTTGTCGAAATAAGAATGTTTATGTCGTGTATGACGCAGTGAGCACATAAAGGGTTAATGTTTTTACTAATGCGTCCAAAAGATGAAAGCGGCATCATAAACGTAATGGATAAATTATGACGCAATCTGAGATTGCCAACACGGTGAGAACGATATCGGTAATATTTACTTGTATATACTTTTACTTTATACTTATCATTTCTCTTGGGATATAGCTTAGCGAATTCCAAATTTTATAATTAGACAAGATCATTTTAAAATATACGTTCCTTAAACTTCACATCTCAACAATTTCATTTAGTATATAACTTTTAACTTTGGCCAATAAACGAAACTGTCCTTCACGGACTCCCAAGGCGATGAAAAGTGATTGCTACCAAAGGCTAATATATTGAAAAGACTATCAATTTATGACGTACGGTTGCAATATTCTCAAGTCATGCATGCACACAGACTATTATCGGACAGCATATATTGACAATTTCTTATACTTTTATGCAAAAATTTCAAATGTTCTCTCTGAGTCGACGAGTAGTTCGTGTTGCGAAAGATTTTTATTGTGAAGTGAGATACTGGGGCAGAGTATGAAAAACGGATGGTGAGGGGTTTTCTCTTTGATCAAATGAAACACTGGTGTATGTGCGAAGCCAGTTTCCTGGGCTTCTTTAAATTCCCACTGCAACCTATGTCTACGTAGATGGTTTAAAAATGACTCACCCGGATAAAAATCTTTAGCTTTTGAAAGTTTTATGATTGCTCCAGTTTCTTTCTGCAACTGAACGATGATTTGGCCTCCTTTCCCAATGATTGCACCTGCTGCATATCCCGGTACCAGAATCTTCAGTAAAAGCTGTCCAGGAGGAGGACTTCCAACGATTGTCCCGTTCTCCATACGTTCTGGAAAAAAGATAGATTATATTCAAATAAAGTTGGAGACGAGTAAGATCAGAATACATTAAATACATTTGTAATCAGATCAGAAAAGCGTCCAAACAAATTTTGTCAACATCTATATATTCAATACATTTTTTTATTACTTTATTCAATCAAGTTCGATGGACTTTTAGGTAACATGGCATTGTCCGCCCACACCAAGTCTCTGGTATACACAACATGTACACACAGTTTCGAAATTAAAATCTGTATCATCCAAACCAACCACCTCGACAAATATAGCCCATTACTTCCTTCCGAGATCGCCCGACTCGGCGTTGTACGGTGCGTTCTCGGTAAAATTCTGTTTCCAAATCCAAAATTCATGCGAAAAAAAACATTTCTTGCCAAGCCTGGGCTATTAAAAATTTCATCTCAAAACGAACATGGCCATTTCAATACGAACAGCGGCGGGAGTTACAATTTCTCATCGATAAAATCAATTGCTGAGAAGCTTAATATTTCGTACGAAAATTATTTCGTGTAAATCGCCCGATTTCTATATATTTTCAAAGAAGACTCTTATGCTCGTTAAACAAAATAAAATACACTTTTACTTTTCCGTAATGTGATCACGCCACATTTCAACTGAAAATAGCACATTTTATCAACTTAACTTATGGACTGTATCATAGTTTAATAAATATTCGACCTAAGAATTATTCAAACTTTCGCCATTTACAATAAGAAAATATAATACTACGCTGACCCTACATTTCAAAGTTATACTACTTCAGAAATCAAGCATAGCTATTCAAAAAATCTAGGCGAAAAAAAAAGCCTACTAACACCAATTTTAAAATAATTATTTTGCGAGTTCAATTTATTATACACGGTCAACTTACCAAATGGCTGCTGTGTATAATAATATGCATATTGACGAGGAACTGCATGATTTTCAATATAAGTGACTGGTGTGCTAACTTCCATGATGATAGATGTTTTGAGAATTATTAGTATTTATTGTAGGACGTGACAAATGTTAATGACGATGAAGGCGCATTGCCTTGAAATGACTAGAATAAAATGGATCTAGAGAATATTAATCATAAATTTCATTAAAATTTGATAGAAAGTACATAAAAATCAAGAAATTTGTATAAAATAGAAACTTGGTATTGTTGTGTTTTGTAAAAGTTGAGAAAAAAAAAAATAGAGATATTACTAAGCAAGACTTGAAAACCGATATACCAGTATTCTCTGATTCCTTGATAGTTTCGCAATTCGTTCGAAATAAAAGTCAAAATCACAAATTGATATCATTAAGTTATAGGAGAACAGAAGAACACATGGACCGCATACGACCTCTTCTCAACAAAATTAAATGACTGGTGAACGCCACGATTCAACAGCTCACTAGATTCATTATATCTGCTGAACTATCTTTTCGCATAAAATTATACTACATTTCATCGCATCACTTGCCTTGAATATCAAGTCACACTGTATCCTTAATAACCGTTCATATTCTTATTAACTTAATATGGAAAAGAAATCGCAATACGGTTCCCGCTGCCAGTACTCGACACCATAAAACCGCTCAAGGCTGGCGTAATTCCATTTATGCGATTGCACATAATAGTTAAACTGACTCCCGTGGAGCGCTGGAAGAGCGCCGTTTGTTGCATGCTTTTTATATGCAGTGCACGCCCACATCGCACTCCGTCCGACTGGTTCTTTATTATGTTGAGTGTTTCCTATTATGTGGCTTCAGTGACGTCGACAAATTTAATGACAGGGGACGGCAAATAACAAAACCAATTCCATTTATTTTTGCAATTTTGGGAATGAGGTCGCATGAAATTAGAGACGCGTGTGGTTGCAATTCAATATTTCAAATGTCTAAGGAAATTTGATTTTCAATTGAAAATTCGGATTTTAAAAGAATTTCACCGCAAAATCAGCTTTAAGAATTTTTCTAAATTCTTAATAACAAGCATTTTTGTTCACGATCATGAAAATTAGGCCGAGCTATAAATAATAATAATGCTGAAGCTTTAACATGAATCTACACATTGTCCTATTTAAACAGTAAGTAATACTGAGATCAAAATCTAAAAAAGTATTTCACCCTCCTTTATTTCAATGGCAATCATATATAATGTATATACAGGCACACGCATAATCATCTTTCCAATTGAATATTGTGAAGAAATAGTCTATGGAAATTGAAAATACTTTCGCAATTTTACAAATATCGAAACCAGCAGGTGGTTGCCAATATTTCAAAAGTCAATAACGACTCTTCATTTCTCAACACTCCCTCAAAATAAAAATCCCATAATGAGCAAAAAAGAAACAGCCATACGCAGATTTTAAATTTCGGAAATTATGCCGTCAATTCAAGGGAATTATTTGCGCACCAAGGGCGCACCGCAACAGCCTATTTGCAAATTTATTAATGAACGTTTCAACAAAATACTTCAATTTGTTTATTTTGACTATCGAGTCCAAATTGGTCACCATTACTCATATAAATTATCATCGGTACATATTGGAACAACTATGAAGGTTCTACTTTGAAGGTATATTTAGTTGGAAATCTTTGGATGCTTTGAGGTCACCAGAATCTTGCCTTTGAATTTGATAGCAGAAAAATGAGAACCGTCATTTCACAATAATTTACGCGAAAGGTGATTTGTTAGGTTCTATTTTACGAACTTTTCTGGATCATTCACTATTTATGGCCCATTTCATTCTCTTCAAGCTAATACTCACTACTAAAAATTTTTAACATTTTTTTGAAATGTAATTTTGCGGCATTTGCAGTGAGACATAAATTCTTACGTCTTTTTTAACACAATTTTGCTCTATTCCTGAACAATTTACTGAAAACTGCCTTTACCTGGCTTACTATCAATAATCCTTTTTTCAAATCAACCAACCGAGATAGATGAAAATGCGCGCTTTGTATGTCTTGGATAGCTTCGGCAGCGAAGTAAGTCTGTAGATAGATTCTTCAAAATATTGTTAAATATCAATGGCTGCTTTTATCAAGCCTTATTCGGAGCAAAAGGCACGAGTAAGCGTCGTATTACGTCATTATACAAAGAAGATTTAGCCCCCAAAAAATTTAAATTTTGGGCTGGCTACACTCTTGCACTGACCGAGTTCTCATTGCCTATCACACGATACGAAACGTATCCAACAGAGATTTAGTTGCGTTCGTATGACAATATATAATCAACTAATCCACTCGCAGAGTTAAAACTGATTGACATGACAATAATAACATCACAATACTGCTCAAACTAACGCTGACAAGACCTGCATCCTGCGCGTTCGGGGGCGTTGCTGATATAAACACAGGCGTCGGAAATTTGAAGGTATCATTTTTTTAATCAATTGGTACAGGAATATACATTCATGTTGTACAGGGCGTCGGTAGCACAGAGGGTATGGATAGCAAGATAAATGAAATAACCTATAAATCATCTAAACAATGAAATATAAATTCATTGTAAGTATTAATAATAGTTCGTTGCAAGTTTGAATGAACACGATTATTCTACATATCTGTTTTTAATTTTTTTTTCAACTTTATTTATATCTTTGATTACAGCTAACAACTTCAGTCAAAATTCAAACTTCCCAAATCGACATATGACGCACTTTTTATAAGATAGGCTAATTTTGAAGCAATTCAGGAAGAGCAAATATATTTAAGTTACATTTTACTGCATATTCAACCTACGTACTATCTCGTACCATGAGCTATGTGGTGACAACTGCGACGGCGCAAAAGCGTATTTACGAGCTCGTAAATGGGAAAACACAAAACCGTTTTCAAAATTTGCCGTGAAACTGGTAAAGTTAACGCGCATTCTACTGTTCAAATTTGAATGCATTTATACATTATTTGATTGTATATAAATCAGTCAGAAAATGGATTCATTGTACAATCGTACATTATAGTGGAAAAACAAATTATTAACTAATAATCGATAAACAGTACTATATATATATATAAATATTGCGTATTGTGATTGAAATTCCAGTTAATTACTGATTTTGATATAAATTCACCTCTGGTTGTATGTATGTACTTTAGAATAAATTATCGACTATTTTTATATCATTTACCGAGGGAGGGACGAGGAATACTTCCCATCAGTCGATTTAATATTGTAAGGTAGAATTGTGATCGCTGAAGCGGAAAATCTGACAGTCAATGTCTGGAAATCCAGTATAGCATTTTTCTCCCTCCCGGAATCTAAATTGGAGGAACTCAAATCGTACCAATTCAAAGGTGTGGTATAAACTTCACACTACATAAACTAAAGGAACTCAACCTGCATGGTTGCATCAATCTGGAAGATGTCAGTTCATATTCAAACAAATATGGGTTAAAACTTGACTTGAAGAAATGGTATAAACCATGGGTATAAACATTCAAGCATTGGAATATTTATTTTTTACGCCGATAGTATTTACAATGTATATCTATTCCAGAAAATGACGCTCTCCCAAAAAGTCCGTTGTGTTATAAAAGACCATGGATTTAAACAGTTATTTGTATTTTTGTTGTCATGAGTGGGCGAACAGACACTGTAAATTTTTAAGCGCATTTAGCGGTAGTTGTACTTCATAAATCAGCAGCGGACAATGTCCAAGAACTCATGAAATAAGTTTTGTAACTTTATGTGGATTTTTCTTCAGTTGTAGATTCGAATAAAAAGTTTGGATACTGACAGAAACGGCACCAGTCCCCGAACATACGCCTTATCAGCAGCTTACTAATGAGGAAGCCAATTCAAATGGCGATTGAGACTATATACATACCACTACTACTCCCAACCAGTAGTTCATAATAAACTTAACAAATCGATATCGCGACTGGGACAATGCGTGCTGACCATATGATCATATGCGTTCATGTTAAATGAGTCTAAGCTGTACAACTAACAATAATGCAAACCATCACATACCGCCAAATAAACATTGTTGGGCTGAATCAAATCGTT